TGCGGGTGAGTCTACAAATTATTATGCAGTGATAAATATTCCCACATTTCACATGTTGTACATCCATCCATATATGTGAGTGTGCTTGTGCTTATCTGTGTGTTTTTGTGATGAATGCGATTGTGCAGCAGTTGGTTGTTATGCCTGTTGCTTGGACCACGCTTCAAACTTGCTTATAAATATGATTTACTTTGTCTCTTTGATACCTGTAGCATAAAAACATGCAAAATTTCAGACAGAGCTCTCATCTAAGAGGCTTGAAAGCTACTAGTTACTTCAAAAGATTATTTATCACAGCTTTGTAGAATCTTTAAAGAATTATGTTTTACCTTTTTTCGGACATACAATATGCGACCAGCATGTCAATTTTTCTAAATCTAGAAAGAATATGTATTCTGCAACATCCGTACTTTTATACAAAGAGATATATCAGACTATATAAACTATAGGTTATATTTGAATATCGAACTAAGAATTTTTCGAGGGCTCTGAATTAATTACTCTAATACCAAGCAGTGAGTTCAACAAACTAAGAACTTAACACAAATTACAGACAGAGTTGTTATCTAAATCTACTAGTAGTATCGTAGTACGATATACTATATTTTATAATACAAATAAAGAATTACGTTCTTATCTTTTTGTGGATCATCTCCGTGGCAGATTTGGTGTCTCTAGATGGATTATTTTCCAATATCCTTACGTTTATACAAAGTGATGGATCAGACTATATTAACTGAAGAATATAGTACTGAGAGTTTTTCGAGGGCTTTCAATTAATTATTCGAATGCCAAGCAGTGAGTTCAACAAACTGGGAACATAATACAACGTTTGCGCAGTCACTGGTAAATTGATCAATTTGAATTCATTCTCGCCATGGAATCGGGAAAGTAAAACAGAAACTAAATAATCTGCAAAAATAACAATGTGCACAACTACACAAACAAATTTGGTAACTTTTGTAACCGGTCCCCATGCAGTAGAAAAACTCGATGCCAATGCGCCCAGGGGCAGGCAATGGTGTTCGAGCTGGCGTTCGTGGCCAGCAAAGGGCGCCGGGCGCAGAGCACAGCGCGTAAAAAATAGCGTCTAACTTTTCAATTTAGTATCACTTGCGGTTCCTTCTTTTTATTTGGTGAACCTGACGCCGTTGCGCCCAAACAATTCCCACAATGACGCACAATAGCAAGATTGGAAAACAATAAACAAGGCTATGTGTGGGGGATTGGAGGGCAGGTCCAAAGGTAAAGAAACTGCGCTGAAAGCAGCGTGAAAAGTGTTTGCCCAGCGCCAAGTTGTGCTCGCTTTTGTTGCCCGTGATGAGTGCGTTCAGGGACGACCTGTGGCAGATCGAAACCGAAACGAGCAACAAAAGAGGAAAAGCTGAACAAGCTCCAAAACTGTGTTGATATTTAAGGTTGGCGTGAAACAAATGCGGTAGTCATGTTCTAAGGAGCCTGGGACTGCTGGCCACAATCCGTAGTTTCTGTTGCTCTGCAGCTGCATGTAAACAAATCGCCCGCAATGGCAGTGCCAGCTGCAGCTTCTTCCGCAGCAGAAGCAAGTGGCACGCCATGTTGCTTGGTAACTTGGTTGAGCTAAAGGTAAGGCACTTGTAAGCTTCGGTAGTACTTAGCAAAATCGAACAAATATGTGACTTTCGTAAAAACTTTGTGTACTAACTTGCCTCTCCCTTCCTGCGGCTGCTCTCTCCCTCGCTCCCTCTCTGTCTGTGCTTCTAGATTTATATACATACATTGTTATGTTTTGTTGTTGGCGTTTGCTGCGGTGTACATAGCAGCCCCTTGTTGTATGCTATGATTATTTTTTATTCTATTTTCTTTCCTTTGCAATGCACATACAAGCACTAACAAGCAAAGTTTTATGCGCTGCCTGGTTGCAACTTTGCCCAGCAATAAGCAAGAATTTGTGGTTGCACTTCGAACTCACTGCTGGAGTCTTGGGTAGCTTTGTATGTACAAAAGTTTGAACTATACACACTTTTGCAATTTTCAATTGGCAAACAAACGCTGTTTTCGATTTCGGGCTGCAAATATTTATTCAATAGCTTTAAAAATGCCAGAGAGCTTCAATAAGCAATTACCAGTGTAAAGTTCAAGCATGCCTGCCAATTGCTGCAGTAGGCTTGCCTTGATCGCTAAGAGAACCCAAAGTCGTTGAGGTCATTGTGTAAATATTAATTTTACAAGCTGCAAATGGGAAGAGTGAGTGGATAATGAAAGAAGAGAAAACAAATGAAGCCGTACAGCAAGAAAATAATGAAAATCATATATTCTACATCCTGCGTGGAAGGACGCAGAAGCGAAATGGGCATGCGCCGTCGCCTGATATGCAAACAGCTCCCATAGGCAATGAATTACGCGCAGCTGGCATAAAAAAATGAAAACAATTTCATTTTATTTGCCTCATGAGAGATTTACACACCCGGACCGACCCAACTCGACCCGGCATCTCTCCATCGTCTCGGCTCAGACACAAAGCCCAGGGCCAGGACCAGAGCCAGGACCAACGGAATTAAAGTAGGCGGCGTCTACCAGCACTCACCGACAAGCTTACATTGGCAAGCTTGTCGGGCATCTTCAGAAGCGCCACAGCCGCAAATTATGTGTCATTATTTTTAAGGGCGCAGCCGCATGAAATGTGACCCAAATAAGATATAAAAATTTTTGAGTGCCTTGTTAGGCTATGTTAAAAACGTTGTAAACAGCAGCAACGTTGCCGGTGCCGCCGGCACTGGGGCAGTATGTGATGAAGTGCGTTGCTTGAGGATGTAGCTGGGGCGCCTTGACTTATGCTACGCATTTGTTGACAAACGACTTTAGAATGATGGTAATAAAGTTTGCGGAAATTGACGTTGATTGTTTGGTAATTAATAAAAATTTTTGGGGTCCACACCGCTAAACTGGGTTAAATGATTTGTTGCAGGCCAATGGTTTATTTGTGCTTGAAAATAAGATCTTGATAAGTACTACTTCAGTTGCTGTGAATTTACAGAAAAATGTTTTCAAGACTCTGACTTATCTATACAAATATTAAAAAGAGGAAAGATTTGATTGTTTGATTGTTTGTTTGTTTGTATTGAAAAGGCTCCGAATCTACTGGACCGATTTAATGGATTCCTTCACTGTTGGGAAGCAACACTATCGACGATTAAAATGGGCTATATTATATTTGCAAAAAAGAATGGAATCCTTACTAAAACGCCAATAATGTAACCAAATGTATACAAAATTACCTTAAAATTACCTTCATAAACAATCTCGAAACATTGCTACTTTAAATAAATATAAAGGCAATATTATTCAAAAGCCCCCAGCCAAATAAAAGATTACAAATCGATCGACACCGCGATTAATATTGAAGACATTTAAATTCACTAAACCCTTCTGGACTGCCGCCACATCATGCTTTTGACAAATTAAAGCCTTAGAAGCATTTGCAATGGGACGAGGCTGTTTATTAAGGAATTTCACGATAATTTAGGTGTAGCAACTATTATCAACGTCTCAGCAACTGGGCAACTAGCTCATATGACGAGAATACCGATGATCCCATTTGATCATTTATATGGCTTCAATTTCCGGTAGTCCCGAGGCCAAGCCTTGGAATTAGTAGGGATCGTCATACGAAAGCAATGTTTTACTGTATGTGGACCTATCACGGGTCACAGCTCCTGAAAATCAATTTATTTTGCTGTCACAAAATAAAACATCAAATATATTTCTCAGAGTACCTCTGACCTAATAAAGAATAAAAAAAGGGTGTATGTGTGTGTGTGTGTCATAAAAGGTATAATTTTTAAAATTTTTGTAAAAATACCCTTGCGAAGCAGAGGCAGGACGCTAGTATTATTAAAATTATTATTATGTCTCTTTACGATGGTTAAGATTTTGCTGGTGTGGATATTACTATATAATAATCCTGTCTTGTCTGCTTACTAGCAGGCTGTTTTCTTACTAAAATGTCAGGCATGAGAAGCTGAACTTTGCTGTTTTTTATGAAACTATGTAGAATCGCTTTTCAGGCACTTCGGGCCCTAGCCACTATTAATTGGTACGGCTACGTTTTCTTCGATAGGGCAACTTTTAATGACTTATATTTCTTTTTAAGTGATTATTGCCCAAACGTATTTATACTTTTTAAAAAGGTTATTGAATTACCTTTAATTTTGTTTCAAAACATGCACATGTTTCACAAACAATAATGCAAAAAATCAATTTAAATAAGACAACTTCATAATACTAGAAATGTTTTTACCATTAGTAATTGGTACGGCAACAATATTTACGAATTAAGCCTGAGTATCGTAATTTTTCTTTTTAAGGACAGCTTTGATTTTCGTTTTAATAGTATTAACTAAATTTAGGCATTCTTCAGGCGTTATAAAGTCTAACATTTTCTGAAATTTTGATTTAGGTTAGGGCTCGTAATATGCATTTTATCCGAACATGATTTTATCTCACGGTATGTCACGTTATTGATCGTTTATTATTAACTTAAAGCAATGTTTGTTTCTGACACATCGCGTGAGTTGACCCTTTGCTTCTAGGAAATGTTAGTACATGTATGCACAAACATGAAGCTAGTTTAACAGTGAAGTGTTTTTAATACTGCAACTAAAAATTGTGAAAGTAGTACTCAGTTCATCAATATTTATCATGCTCTATTAAAACTCTTGCATTAAAATAAATCTTTAGGAAACTTAAATCGTAGACACACCTATATTTCATGAAATATAACCAACATAATTGTTGCAGATAATTATGAAAAATGAAATCTATTTAGTGACACAAACTAAATGGCTGATGCTCCGTCAAAGATCTATAAAAAATGTCATGGCTTGTTTGTTATCAATGGTGCCAATGAGTGACTGCACAACATTTAAATAACTTATTCATATAAATAGGAAAAATTACAAAATCCAAACGACAATCTCACTTACAGTGCTCCCGCCTTCTCTCTTTTTGTGTTATTACAGAGCTCGTTGAGGGCGCGCTGCGGAACGTCAATTTAATCATAGAACCACCGGCAGTCCGGCGTGGCCAGCATGCTGTTCTGCGTTGCATGTACGATCTGAAGGGTGCACCACTCTACTCGGCAAAATTTTATCGCGGTCAATTGGAATTTTACCGATATACGCCCGGCGAGTTTCCCAACACAAAAGTGTTTCCATTTCCGGGCATACACGTGGATGTAAGTATGCAAAAAATGGCGAATCCAGTATACAAAAAAGTGTTGTCCGCACGCAGACACACAAAGGCTTCGGGAAAAAAGTGGAAGGCATTTCGGTCCTGGCCGTAAAGGGCAACACCGTCATTGTTTGCCGGCGACTTCACTGTTGGCATTAAAGGACGTATTATATTGTGTTCCTTTTTTCCCCGAGAGCTGTGGAAACTTTCGAAACTAGTTAACGTTGCATGCAAATGCAAGCCTGTTCAGCTGTCCAGTCAGTGTGCATCTCTAGCCATAGCCCTGGCCCAATCATGGTCCGTGAGCGAGCGTCAGTTTGATGCCCTTAATTGCGCGCACACTGCATTTATTTATACTGTATATTTTAAACTGCCTCTCATGCATATTCAGTTTGGCAGTTTTATTGTTATTGGCGGTTATTCAAAAAAGTCAACTGAGGGGCGACTCAAACGATGAGGCGTGATAGGAGTGGCAGAGACGGAGAAAAAGCAAAAGGATGGCATACACCTGCCACTATCGACGCGACTATCTGCAAAAATGGCCATTTAAATTTGCTCGACGACTTTGTCGCTCTGCACCTGTCTGGTTACCTGGCTACTCAGGCATTTGCAGAGTCTGGGTCTTGGTTGCCTTGGCTAGATTATTAAAAAAGTTTATCCTGCACAGCAGGGCAGCAACCCAGGCCACAACAGCAATTTCGTAGCTTCGATAAAGTTGCCTCGCTGAATCTGTCTAAATATTTCATCAGGCTATTGAGTTTTTGCCAGCGAGTTTATCTTTAGTTTTTTTTTTTTTGTCTTTGTTGTCGTGCAAAAGTTTTAGTTTGGCATTTAGGTTGCTTTTTAGCCTTCTTATTTGCTGTCCTGCGGTTTATCTTCGATTTAATAAATTTAAGTGCAGTTTCTTGTTATAATCACATAAATTTAGAAGATTCGAATGGATACAGTGTCAGTTGAAAGGTGTAACATTAGACGAGGCCATATTTAAGACATAATTGATTTTAGGGTCGTTATGCTATTCTGATGGAATGGAATAGGTAACCCATTCCCCAGCCAAGACATGGCAACAACATAATATTGTTGGAATTAGGTTGGAATACCTTTTTAAGGAAACAAGTTTTAAATCCTATCGCATTCATGACATGCATATGGGGAAGTGATCTGATATGGTTTGTCTATTGAACTATTGAAGGATTAGTGAAACGGGCAGAGGGACCGACGGACATGCAGAGAGACAGGCGACCAATAAAAAAATGCGCTTTGGATTCGTGCCCATATGCTTATTATGGATCAGAAAGTTAGCGAAGTTAGGACTTAACAACTTACATACAGTGTACTTAAAATTTACAAAGCTATATCTTTAATGCATTCATTCTTAATTCAAAATAAATCGAGATAAATTGATTACTAGTCCGATAAACTACTGTATTGTAGGTAACAAATATTAACATTACTTCCTAATTATTGATACTATAACTACCTAATATTACACATGAAATGATCACATTATTACCTAATGTTATTGCACATGAAATCATATTAGATATCGTTACTATCTTATCTTAATAAGTAAGGACAGAGAGTTAAAGTAGAGATTTGAAAAGATTAAGAAGACCATCACACAGAACGAGGCTAGCAGCCACCTTTAGATCGGACGCGCGATCTTTTCTCCCGTAAACCGCGAACCCGAGTGACCCCCGCTCGAAGTAAACTCGGAAAACAATGAAAAGTGAACCTCAAGCGTCGTCCAAGTTATTTTAGGTTATCAACATTCTAATATTGTAATCGTGGTGCAGTGTGAAGAATCAAATGAAAATAAAAGAGCCATAACAACATTTAACTATTATTTCGCGGTGTTCTTGCCTCCCGACTACTCCAGCGCCAACGGTTACAGTGGACACACGTCATATACGAAATTGTATAGTGGACATTAGTCGCTATATACGAAATGGTCCACTCGAACAACTGAGTCTTTACAGATATATTTGCAGTGCACTAGCCTGCAGATTTAAAGCCAAAGCACAGGCCACGCTGCTCTACCCTACAAGTTATAAATAAGTTCCTGATTTGAATAGCTCTTTTCACTTTTCTGTTTCTAAAATCTATTTATTGTTGATTTTTTACTAAAAAATCTTTGAGCTATTTGATATGTCAATCACACTAACTAGCGTATTTAATGGGTCCTCCTTCATTCTTTGCCCGTCTCTTCAACAGGTAACTAGTTCTAATGCCACCCAGGTGCTCATACGCAACGTTGGCTTCGGCCTCTCTGGCAACTTTTCATGCGAGGTTACCGCCGATGCCCCTCTCTTCTCCACCGCCACCGCTGTGGGCCAAATGCAAGTTGTGGGTAAGTTAACTTTCACCGCTACTCTGAGCCAAATTGGCATAATACGCGCTTAAAAGCGCTTGTTAACCAACAGCCGGTGCTCCAACGAGCCATGCAGCGTTTACTTTGACATTTGCGAAAATCTGAGCGCGTCGCGTTAACTTTGAGTTACCTGTGGCTTAGGCTAACTGCTATGACGACCCCAACCGACTCTGGTGGTGGATAGAAAAAGTTTCTGGCATAAGGCAATGGCAAATTTAAAGCAATTTGCTGAGGGTGGTAGGGGCTTATGTGACCTTGTCATATCTGCTGAAACTTTTTGAGCAGCGCAACAACTTTAGCTACAGAAACAGTCAGCAGACAGCAGGCAGCAGTGTTACCTCAAAGAAGCAGCTTTGCTTAGATTGCTCGACGCTCCGTTGAAAATTGCGTCATTAACAGGCCATAGCGCGAAAGATAAGCGCCTTGGCGTTGAGTGACGCCGGCTGTGGCCATTTGCTCTAGTCCTAAGTCGAGTTCTGAGTTCTACCTGCACGCCACACGCATTTCACGGCCTTATGCGTTTTAAATGAGCCAGTCGCGGCGCGTTGTGAATTAAGAATTTAATCAGCGGCAAGCACGGTCCTCGCCGTGGCAAATGGTCGCCATGAAAAGCAATGTGCGCGCTTAGCAATTATTTAGTTTCATTGGGCATTAAGCTTGAGCAGTACCGGAACAGCCACGGGCTTACTCAGGCAGCAAGTGAATCGAGCAATAAAAGAAAGCGGCCCGTGCTTCAATAAGAGGGAGTCATTAGATCTATGGCCCACAAAGGGGACTGTGGGTGGTGATTGAAACAAAAATAGTACACACTGCTGCCAGCTAAAAGCATTGACAATAAGTGCCAACAACAATATCAGCCATGGAATCAGCCACAGCGTAATCAGTTACCTTCCTTTTGACATAAGGTACAAAGTAATCACAATTGATTGAAGATTCTAGTTTGTGCGCTAAGCTTACATATGTGATATTAAGGTTCTAACTTATAAGGATATACATATGTACTTCATTTATTAGTAAAGGGTGTAAAGTTTGTTTAGGACAGCTCTAAGTCTATCTGATCGTCGGTATCGATTAAAGTAGAAAAGAGGACATTGCGATTTGGTTTCGTCTGATCAGATACGGTGTGGGCCTAAATAAATACTTCAAGAAACTAAGGCACCAAAAACAATAAGCCATTATACTTTCTAGTGACGGTCATACAAAAGAGTATTTTATTTTTCCAATGTAATAATTCCTTAACGATTTTAAGTATTAAGTCATATTTATAACAATGCCATATTCTGTGGACCTTTCTCGCTTCTTTCACTTTGACCAACAAATAAAGCTGAAACTTTCTCTTCACCACTCTCCTTAATATATTAACCTTTAAATTATTTAAAATTTACTCCTTTACAAGAAAAAGGTTTAAAATTGTAAAGAGCAGAAATGGTAAATTGAGATTGCAGAATCTATCTACAGCTGATTTCCCTTACTGATTCAAAAATCGAAGACCTTCGTTTGGCAAAGTTATATACAATAGTAGGTATGGTCGAAAGCCACTACTACACATATACAAGCACTTTAAAAAAGTGCTAGCTATCACAAATACAACAAGAGAGAACGCTACAGTCGAGCAAGCCCGACAGTGTAATACCCTGTACCCAGGTAAACTTGCGTCACTGAGTTATATGCGCCCATAGCAGCAGCAAAAAGAGGAAGAAGAAGAGCGAACTTGTTGCTGCAGTTTGGGGAGGTTGTACTGGCGAGAATTTGTTTTGCTAATAACTTTTCTTAAAATTGACCGAATTGAATAAAATTTTGAACAACAATAGACAATTATATATAAATTATGTGTGCAAAGTTTGGTTTAGGTAGCATTTGAAATGTGGACGCTATTGACAAAATTCTGTAGCGAAGGAAGGGGGGGAAAATTAAAAAAAATAAAATAAACTCGTCCTTACTCGGACCTAGGAGAATCTGGATGCCAACTTTGGTTAATCCAGCTTTTATAGTTTCTGAGATCCTTGCGTTCATCCAGACGGACGGACAGACGGACGGACAGACGGACGGACATGTCTAGATCGATTTCTCTCGTCATGCTGATCAAGAATATATATACTTTATGGGGTCGGAGATGCTTCCTTCTGTATGTTACATACTTTGCACAAACCTAATATACCCTTTTTACCCTACGGGTACAGGGTATAAAAACCGGTCACCCTCGCCCAAGTGGAAGCCTTGCTCACATGAAGCCAGCCATAATAAAAAGAGCAACAACAACCACAGTGGCACAAATAGCAGTAAATCCTTATATCCGTTTGGCATTAAATATTCGAGAAATTCGCTCTGAAAGCTAAATTCTGCTACAGTGGCTGCTTTTTATGCCACTTGCTGCGCGCCATTTCTCAGTGTGTGAGTGTGAGTGTGTGTGTGCGTATGTGTATGAGTGGGTATGTGCATGTGTGCTGGCATGATTGAGTAGCTGCCTAGCTGCTTTGCTCGTTGCATGTTTGTAGGCCAGGATTAAATATTTAGACGAGTTTTTCTGTCTCTCTCTCTCTCTCTCTCTCTCGTTTTGTTTCGCTCTGTCTCTATTCTACGTCAGCCTTTATTTCATTAGCGGATCTATCTGTTTGACTGCCTGCTCCATGTATTTAACGCTGCATTTAGCTCATTTAATTGGCCGCTTTTGCTTAACTGCCATCAAGGGATTAAGGCATTGCTTTTAAATTCATCGAGTTCAAGGACACGCCGCTCTCTCCCCCTCTCTCTCTGACCTCTGTTTGCTTATTAAAGTTTTATTAAATGCACAACAGATGTCGGCGTTTAATTGGTTTGTTGATTTTTTTGGCTGTGGGCGTGGATGTCGATGTGTGCGCACGGCATTTTAATAGAGCGCCCCTGCACATTCATCAACGTGAGATAAGGCAGCTTTGCTGACACAATGACAGCGAGAAGGCGCGCGTGCATGGACGTCGGCTAAAAAGCCAGACAGGCAGACAGGACAGATAGGCCTATGTATGAGTGAGTGTATGTCTGCGTGTGTGTGTGTGTGAGGAAGAGTGTGCAGCCGTGTTTGTCTCTGTGTTATAGTTAAGCTTTTGCGGCTTAGGCGTAATATCGACGACACTAAAACCCCAATAACTTGCGGGCTAAACAATAAATTACTAAAGCGGAACAACAAACATTGAGCATAGAGACAATGGACACGGTCGATATATGCTTGATTTGCACATAAAAGCAATATAATAAAGCCACCGTTTCTGAAATATTCAGATTAACTTCAATCCGCGTTGTTCTGAACCAATTAAAATCGAGTAGCAACTGCTTATTTTCTCAAAATCAAAAAAATAAAACAAACTTGCACAGCGTACATACATAATGCATCTTTGTGGAAAGTTTGGTGTCTCTAGATCCAGGTGTTCATACGGACGGACAGACAGACAGACTCGACTCGTCTCGTCATGCTGATCAAGAATATATATACTTTGTGGGGTCTGCCACGCCTCCTTCTGTCTGTTACATTTTCAGCTCCCGCAAACCTAATATACTCTTGGACATTTCATGTACAGAGTATACAAATTCGATCGAAATGAATATATCAAAGGTTGGATTCGGTTTGGAAAATGGAAATTTAAATTTGCTGACATTTTTGTCTATCCTGTATCGCAAGGGTGCTCGGACTTATCTTCTTATAAATAAATGTAAATTATAAATCCAATGTTCAGTGATTCGATGATTCGTTTTACTCTCAAAGCTGCCGCAGTTATTTGCGCTTCATTTTACAGTCCACGCTAGTTTTATGAAATCCTTGATGTGCATAGATAAATACTGGCTAACATAAATAAGTAAAACTGACACATTAAATAAGTCAATTCTGTGAATCGAAGTATTCTTTCATTAGTGTGAATAAATTGGTGAACTCACACGACTTGGGCTTTAATTTGCGCGATATGCCATTTTCGTTTTTAGCCAATACTATTGAGTTAAATCGTCCTCATCTTTAGCTCTACTAAAGCATCCCACCATTCATGAAATGCCTCACATTTATATTCGTGGCCGCCGTTGCCAAGCGCAAGCTTAAATAACTCTGAGGTTTAATCGTGTGTTAATGAGCTCAAGTGGCAATCAGATTGCGGGCCACGATGAGAAGACAATGGCAGACTCGCAGACATACACCCACACACATAGTCGTAAAATAAACACTTTGTCCTTGCGCGCTTTATGAATGGCAGTCGGTAGGCAACTAGGCTGGCAGCCACACCAAACTCAATGCTATTTGTTTGAGGACGACAACGACAACAAAATGGCGGCATTGGCGACACCATAAATGCCAGCGTGGCACGGTTTCCGCCTCCCTGTTCCAGTGTGTCGCAGCAGGTCTTGGCGTATAGCAAGCGCTTGTCTCAAGTTATGCTAATTCATGCTTTCATTAAGTCACAATGCCACCCACACCGCTTGGTCTTAAGTCTGTTGAAATCATGCCATGGACAAGTATAAAGTTTATAGTTGGCAAATATATTAGTGATGCTTCGCCTTTAATAACTTAATGACCTAAGTCAAAGTTGCAGAGGCACAAGTCACGAAAAGGTCAAACGAAATTGTTTAGTTTGTCTCCTTTCTTTATATTTTGATGCTCAAGTGTAAATTGGGCTGTCCAGCTGCTAAATTAAACTCGAAACTTGCCAAAAACTGACCCTCATTAAAAGAATTTGACGAACAGTTTTCACAAAACTTGCAGGCAGGCGACTGTGGAAAGCAAAAGCGGCAACCACAGAACCCGGCGAAAAGGTCAAAATCTGTTCAAAGCTGCATGCGCTAAGAGGGGCAAAGGATTGTGTTGAGTGGGTGTATGAGTGTGTGTGTGTATGTATTGACTGTGCCCTAGCATCCGAGGGGCAGCGGCACAGAATAGCCTTCGGCAGCAAGTACCAGAGCCAAGAGCCCAATGTTGCCTTTGTCATGGAAATTACTTTCTTCATTAGTTACTTTGTTGCTTTGGCTTTTACTTCGCTGCCTTCAATGCTTTGCTTGACTTAATTAAAAAGTTGAACAAGGCTCCCATACTGAGCATAATGCTTGAACAGTCTGCCCTTCCCGGCTTGCTGGTTGCCTGAGCCTCTCTGCCAGTTTGCCCTCAGGTTTCGGCTTAGGCGAATTTTTGCGCCACTTATGCGCCTATTAGGAGGCGGGTTTTTTTTTTGTTTTTGAAGTGCTCATGCAATTTAATTGAACCCTTCTCAACTTCACGCTTACTCTACTTCAACTTTCACTCTTCGTTGCAGAATTGCCAGACAAGCGACCACAACTCTACACTGAACACACTCGCTACGAACCTGGCGATGTCCTGCGCGCCAACTGTAGTACTCCGCCCTCGCGTCCACGTGCTGAGCTTAAGTTCACAATCAACAATATGGTGGTAAGTAGTGCCCAACCAGCGGTTTTAAGTACGTAAGCCGTAATTGCCCCGATAATTAAAAGACCGAAAATACAAGCTACATCAACACTTGAAAATAAACACACAGTTTATTCGAGCTTGTTAGTTGAAATGATTACGTATTATTGTTTTTTTTTTTGTCTATATTAAGAGTCTATAATTACTGTCGCAATAAAGAAATATAAATCTTTATATGTACTCTTCAAACACATACTTTTTTTTTATAAGTTATCAACAAAAATTTTTAAAGAATATTATTTTATTGGATAACTTTTTAGTCCGTGCTCGAAAAAGATGTTAAGTATTTATCTATATATGTACTATAAGTAAATATATTGGTATTTATATATAAATAAAAAAGCTTTTAAGCCCTTCATCCGTCCGTGTGAAGCGGCAAATCAACCCAGCAGCGTCTAACCAAGCGTCAAGGCAAATTTAATGAAATATTTCCGCAAAGAATTTGCGCTTTGCCCCTTGAGCCATGGTCGTGAACACAAAGGCGCTGATTACAAATGTAAAGTAAAAAACTTGAAATGCAACTTCAATTTATTTTGCTTCATATTTTTGCCGTTATACACATAACAATCACAATCCGGCCGACTGACAGACAGTGGGTCAAGCTGTAACGTCTTTGTCGGAGGCCTTTGAAGTTTCAACATATTTTGATCCCCTAGATGGTAGGGATGCCTATTCTAATGAGAAATGAAAACGAAAATGTGCCATGTTAAAACTTAAAGGCAAAGGCTTGTGGGCTTGTCTATGTGTTTCTCTGCCGTGCTCGTGGTCTGCCGACATGGCATATGAGCAATTTCACAGCCAACAGTCAGACATTGTTGTATTAAGTCTGCTGAACATGTGACGCAGCTGCGGCCAGGCATGAATTTCATTAAACACACACACACATACCACTTGCTTAGTTGAGGATGTAGGAAGCATTTCATTGCCTTTGTCGTTGCTGAGGCAGCACAAAAGCTGCTCTCTCTCGCTTTTCTCTCTCTCTCCCTCTCTCCTTTTGCGATCTCTCTTCTTGCTGATGCTGGTTCAGCTGTTCGGCTGCTTCGTGGCTGTCATTTTGTGTTAATTTTCACTTTTAGCTTGTGGCGGCACTGCTGCCCAAGCCTGTCGAGCTGTCAGTGCGAGTGGCGTGTTTTTTTTTTTTTTTGCATTGCAATTTTATGAATATGCATGGTGGATGCGATGCTGCCATCTATGTATGTTTTCTACTCTTTCCCTATTCAACCACATTCTATCTTTCTTTACATATTTCCACCGCACAACTTTTGCTTTTCCGCTACCCCTTCGTGTGTGTGCGTGTGTGTTAATGGGTCTGTTTGGTTGCCACCATTTTGAACAGTGCTCGCGTGTCTCGGCTCGACTCAAATGACGTGCGCTGGCATCGAAGCCAAGATGTCAAGAGCAGTTTAAATGGTCAAGGCGAAATCCTTCTTGTTTGCTTTGCATTACAAACTCGTACTTTTTGTTACTTTGTGTTTGTTTTGTATGCAGTGACGAAGAGATAGAGAGAGGCTGTGGGACTACACGTTTTTTTTTGGGTAACAGGTTGTATATGCTTGACTTAGCTCTTTGCCGGGCTGCTTCACATTTGGAGCAGCAACAATGACTACAAAAACTACAACCACAACCAGAGCATACAGATTTCCCCCCAAATCGATGGCTGGGATGTTAAAGATGCGCATTGATGGCTTTGGTATGCTGCTAGAGATAGGGGTGCATACTTTTGCATGAAATGAAGCTGGATGGCTTTTATTTTAAGCTGAGTGCAAGCTGGGGCTTTACTGAAGCACATCATGTATCATGGCCAGCTTTAGGACAAGTCCAGTACCTGACTGGCATGTGGTCTTTTGTTTGTGCTTTTGTGTTATGAGTAAAAAGGGTTAAGCCGAATTAAAAAGAGTTTTACTTTCTTGGAAACAGGAATAAGTATTGTGCAGAATATGAGATAGATGATTAAGTTGTGATCAGTAAAAAGACACATTTCTTTATAAAACACGTGTACATTTATTTTTAAAAGAAAATAAAACAGACAAGAAAAACATTCAAGATTATTAACCGATTTAAAAAAAGAGGAGGTTATCAATTCGTCTGTATTTTTTTTTTTTATACCCTGTACCCGTAGGGTAAACAGGGTATATTAGGTTTGTGCAAAGTATGTAACATACAGAAGGAAGCATCTCCGACCCCATAAAGTATATATATTCTTGATCAGCATGACGAGAGAAATCGATCTAGACATGTCCGTCCGTCTGTCCGTCCGTCTGGATGAACGCGAGGATCTCAGAAACTATAAAAGCTAGAATAACCAAATTTGGCATCCAGATTCTCCTAGGTCCGAGTAAGGACGAGTTTTTTTTTTTTTAATTTTCCCCCCCTTCCCCCGCTACAGAATTTCGTCAATAGCGTCCACATTTCAAATGCTACCTAAACCAAACTTTGCACACATAATTTATATAAAATTGTCTACTGTTGTTCAAAATTTTATTCAATTCGGTCAATTTTAAGAAAAGTTATTAGCGAAACAAATTCTCGGCAGTACAACCCCCACAAACTGCAGCAACAAGTTCGCTCTTCTTCTTCCTCTTTTTGTTGCTGGTATGGGCGCATATAACTCAGTGACGGAAGTTTACCTGGGTACAGGGTATTACACTGTCGGGCTTGCTCGACTGTAGCGGTCTCTCTTGTATATAAATTATGTGTGCAAAGTTTGGTTTAGGTAGCATTTGAAATGTGGACGCTATTGACGAAATTCTGTAGCGGGGGAAGGGGGGGAAAATTAAAAAAAAAAAAACTCGTCCTTACTCGGACCTAGGAGAATCTGGATGCCAAATTTGGTTATTCTAGCTTTTATAGTTTCTGAGATCCTCGCGTTCATCCAGACGGACGGACAGACGGACGGACATGTCTAGATCGATTTCTCTCGTCATGCTGATCAAGAATATATATACTTTATGGGGTCGGAGATGCTTCCTTCTGTATGTTACATACTTTGCACAAACCTAATATACCCTTTTTACCCTACGGGTACAGGGTATAAAAAGTAGCTATAATTTGTTTTTGTCATCAAACAGACAGACAGTGAAATACCCTGTACCCAGACAAGCAGAAATTTGAAATTTGAAACAAAAGTAGATAATTATATATTAATTATGTGTGCAAAGTTTGGTTTATGTAGCTGTTGAAATGTGGACGGTATTGACGAAATTCTGTAGCGGGGGAAAATCAAAAAAATTAAATAAACTCGTATATACTAGGGACTATGAGCGTCTGCATACCAAGTTTGTTAAATATACGCTGAGCCGTTTCTTAATCTTTGCCTTATTTGCATTTAGTAATATTTAGTATATCTCTGCCATGAAATGTTTTTTTTTTTTTTTGAGCAGTAGTTTCTTAGAGAAATGAATACAGTCTTCTGATAATTATTCTGACCACGTGGTCTGTGTAGTGGTCGCATTTAAGTTCAAATTATTACAAATGTTGGGACAATTTATTTTCTTTTCCGACATAGCTAATAGATGCATCTACTTATATAACTATTTGCAATAATTTTTAAAGCGTAAAAAAATTGCTGCTCAAATGCTCAAGCTGTGTTTGAAGAAGGGTTTCGTTACAATGAACATGATAAATGAATTCAAATCATTTGCACCGCAATAACTCGAATGCTGCACAAGCAGACGAAGCCAAACTCGAAGTGGCAGCCAACAGCAACAACAACAAATAAACCAACAACAGTAACATCAACAAATGTCTTTGTCGTTGTTGCATGGAAATGGAAAGATAGCTTATCGGCAATGCGACGTCGACGAACACGGAGCGAATTTTGGCAAACGACAAAGCAACAAACGGAGAGAAAGCAGCAGTCGCTAGAGAAGAGGGGGGAAGCAGCAATGACACAGCCCCTGACTAAAATTGAGTAGAAAACGATACCGCAAGAGGAAGATATATTACAATTGCCGATCACAGGAAACAAATGAATATTTCATGCTGTGCAAATCAACACAGAAGGTGTGGCAAGGGGTTAGAGAGGCAGGAGGCAGAGGCACAGACTCACATAGTCTTAGACTTCCGCTACAGAAGCTACGACATTGCACGTCGTCGTCGTCAGGTTACCACTGTCGGCATCAGCTAACGGGAAAGTTTCGTTAAAAGGTGCTCCGGCAAGGACCAAGCCTGAGGCAAGAGTCGCAGTCATTCGTTCTCACAGTTGTAGTCGAACCCATTGCCTTAGCCAAACTTTATGTTGACAAAGTTTTTGCGGTAAAATGCCACAGCAGTAATTTGCAAGGCACTCACATACACACATACACATGACACAGGCACACCCACACCCACACAACCACACAGTGACATATGTGCCTTGGGTTACGGCTACTGTGGCTTCATTTTGGCTGCCTGCTTCCGCCGGGGCACACATTAATCATTTGGTATGTAAATTGCCAATTAATAACTGCTGCTGCTGCTCCTACATGTCATTTGCCGTTTGCTTAAAATGTTATGGATGTTATAGGCAAGTTTTGTAAAAGCTAAAGAAGTGAGCTTTTAGGCGCAGCGCAATTGTCTCACTGTGTGAGGAAATCACATGCATGCGTCGCCATCACCGCTTAATGAAGACAAATAGCCTCTGAGCATTGCCAAATTTAGCGGAAAATTGAAAAAAGCTTTAGGGTTTTTCATTTGTGGCACACAGCGTGATGTGTGGCAGCTTCTTGCGCCAACTTCTTGGCAACTGTTTCCAACGAGACATTGCAGTGCCATTCTAGAATTTATTTGCTATCGATACGCCAGCAATGCATTGCACCAAGCGCATCGACAAATTGTACACACAATATGAGCCTCAGATAGTATAAAGTATATTTATTATACTCGAAGTGGGATTGCGCATCGGGTAGCTGGTAGCATCGAGATGGCTCAGAGAAAGGGCACCATGCAGTCCCATGGGTTAAATGCACTGGAATTTATGTTTGCAACCAAAATGATAGTTTGCTGTTTAACATAAATCATAGTGGGAACCATGGTATATTTACAAATATAATGGAAATTTGCGAATTCTTCAATGCAGAAATCGCTTTTAATGTGGTTACCGAATTAATTGAGATTTTGCATTTATTGAAAATATTCCTAGATGCACATGTGTGAGCTAAAATGTGTGAAGCGTTCATTTTCTAAGTATTCGTCTATTTATTATTCAGTCAAAAAAACGAAACTTCTTGCCAGCAATGCAAAAATATGTATCTTCGTTTCACTTTAAACACAAGAATTTTGCGTAATTCATCTTTACAGCTATAAAGCATTTATGGTAGAATAGGAGTAGCAGCTATTTCAAAACTGTTGTACATTCTCAAAATAATCATTCCATTTATGGTATTTTATATATGCTTATATTAGCAGCGATTGTATGCAGCACAAAGAATGAAATGAAAAACGTAATAAAATACTTATTAGCAATTAAGCACTAACAGTCCTGTTCAAATAATAATGCTGCTTTGCACCTGCTTCTTACATTTCTTAAAGCTTCTTTTATCAACTTTTTCAGGAAAAACGTTTGCTGCACAAGGCTTTGAGCAGCAAATATTTCCTCTCAGGGCCTGAGGTGTTCTGTTTTTTTTTTTTTTCCTAAAATCAATTAAGTAACAATAAAGTTTCCTTCCTCTAAAATTTTCAATTCGTTTTTGTTTTGGGTGCGCAGGTCTCTTTACGTCTCTGAGTTTTCTCCAATTGAGACTCGGACAAATGCTAAGACCTATTTGCGTTTCCCAAATTAGGCGCTTGCAGTCAGATTGTGTTTTACAAGGTGCGTTCCAAAGTAAACAGGACTTTTTGAATCTAGCGCCTCCTGGTGGCGTTATCTATATGTCGACTAGTGCGTTAGAATCTGCTATCTTTATCGATTGTCCAGTGAGAATTTCATGACATTTCATCGATTGGAAGTGAAGGTATTGCGTTTTAAGTGTCAGTATGTTTGTGTTATCGGTGCGAAAATGAGATTCGAAGAAAGAGCCAACATTAAATTTTGTTTTCAAATTGGTAAAACTTTTACCGAAACGTTTCAATTGATGGAACAAGTTTATGGCGATGATTGCCTACCCGGTAGCGGAGTGCACGAGTGGTTTCAACGTTTTCAAAGTTTTCAAATAAATGACGATCAACATGTGGGCCAATCACCGAAAATCGCATCGCAAATTTCATCAGAAATCAGCCGAAATCATCATTGGAATTGATGGAAATGGAATTGAACATCTCCAAAACATCGATTTGGGCTTACGAAAGGTGTGTGCTCGGTTTGTTCCGCACAAACTGACTGACCAAAAATTGCTCTCATCGATCGACCGATGTGTCCGATTATTTGACCAAAAATCACATTTTAACCATTAACCACTCGCCGTATTCACCTGATATGGCACTGTGCTACTTCTACCTTTTCGGAAAAATGCATTGTTGTATTGAAGCAGAAGGAGACTATTTTGAATAAAAAAAAATAGATTTTGCCGAAAAAACCATTTGTTCTGTTTTTTTTTTTTTAAAGTCATGTTTACTTTGGAACAGCCCTTGTAGATTGAGTGTGGTTTTAAAACTGAAATGCTTTCATGCTTTTCATCTGCAGGGTTATGAATTTATGCCTTTTTATTTCCATCTCTATAAGCAATTGCACCTTTGATGTTTGTGAAAACAATTTGCTCACTTAATGGCAAAAACAGTTGCCTACAAAAATGTTTTGCATTTTCTCCAAAAACGAACTGTTGAGCGCCTTAAAATTGTATAAATTAAGGAATTATTGAAACCAAAAACATGAGCTTTTCCGTCTACCACACAAACTCGCATATGGACGTACCAGTTTTAGAATCTGTATAAGCAATATTTATCTAAGCGAAAATCCTTTCACACACACTCTCACACACACACTCATGCGTACAAAGTCGCTGGTATTCATGGCGAGCGGTAAATTCTCTTATGGCAACAATTTTACAGTGAATTGCACTAAATAACTGCCATTAAGCATAAAAGCTGTTTGCGCATGAAAGAGCTGCTGGCAGCATTTAAGCCAAATGCAAGTTTAAGCATCTTGGAAAGTGCTGAAATAAAGTGGACTTTGCGCAGACAACGACACAACGACACACTGACACAGAGACACGAGCATATACACACACACATTCATATATAGATATAGGGGATAAGATGCAATACACAACATACGAGTACTCGTGCAACATGCAACATACAACATACAAATGCAAGTCAAATAAAACAGAAATGGCTTAGCAACGAGAGCAAAAGCGCAGCAAAGCGTGAATGCATAAAAAAGGATGCAGCAGGACCAGTACGAAAAACGGCAACAACACAGTAGCGGCTGAAAAGCGCAGCACCCGTCCAGGCATTTCAGAAACAACTTTCATCAATGGTCGCCTATCTCCCTGGCCCCTTTTCCATTTTCGGGCTGTTGTCTGCGGCCGAGTATATAGTCAGCCACTAATGTGTGCTATTGTGAAAATCTTGCTTCCGTCCTTAGATTTTGTTTTTGTTGCCAGCACCAAGATGGAAACGTCTACGAGTGCGACGACAACGACGGCATCTTGGCCACGTCGCCGCCTTTTGCTGCATTACATTAACACAGATAAAGTTCCTTGATACATAATTTCCATGCATACACATACACACTTACTAAGAGACTTACAAACATCCACACAAGTGGCTGCACATGTGCTCCACCTCATTCCATCGGCATTTTGCCTGCCAACTCACAAATGGCGACAACATGCTGGCTGTCTCTGCTACTTTTTAGTTTGCAGCTTCTGCTCCTTCTTTTGCATTTGTCCGAGTGCAAACAAAAGTATTACAAGCGGCAAATGCGCTAAACGTTGCCAAATCTCGTCTAGGAAGAAGCAAGGAGTGGAGCTTCAATTGCTGTTGCTCTTCTTCTTGCACTTGCTCTTATACATAATACTAGTTTTAGTTGCTAAAGAGGAGCACATGGCGCTACACCCGAGTGCCCCAGCGCTTAAAATATGCAAATGGATGTGCAAGCGAAAAATAAACACCGCTTACATACTAAAAATATATCAACGTCTTATTCATCCCACTGTACTTTATATGTAGATGGGTTTTTCTTATAAACGTGTATATGTTGTTTGTATAACAAAAAGGACTTCTTATGCTCTAATGAGTAACAACTTTCACTCAATATTCGTATATTAGTAAAAAGGTGGATTCCCAGAATTTATTGAACTTATATAAAAAATAAATTATTAAATAGAATAGAAGAAAGAATTCCCAAAACTGGTTATTCAAATATTTTTATTGAATTAGTATATGTTTAGCTTTAAACTATATTTATATCTTAGAATATAAGTTAAAGATATTGTGGAGTCACTCAAGCTTCCTATTGGTACAGACTGTAATAATCAAAATGCCAAGCTTAAATATTTGTTAATTATGGGGAGTATGTATTGTATCTTCAAACGCCTAACTGAGTCAGTAAAAATATATTGAAATCAAATTGATTTGGTTTGTTTAAACCGAAATTTCAGATTTTGTTTCCTGCCAGATAAAACTTTACATATAATTATATTTCGATAGTGCTACATTCCTATAATCTCTGTTCAACATATCGGTATTTTTCTATCTTTCATTGTAGGTCACCAATGCCGAAACACAATATATTCGCACAATTGATAATCTGATTGCATCAAGGATCTCGCTCAAGCTGCAACTGCAGGGCGTGCACTTTTCGAGCGCCAATGCACCTGTCTACAATGGTTACGGCTTGAACTCGGTGTACGGTGGCCACGGAGGTCCTATGTATGCGCCCAATCCGGGTGGACTGGTGCTACGCTGCACTGCACAGATCGGCGAGTTGTATCAGGAGTACAAGGAAATTGAATTGGGCACGCCGCAAAAGGATCCGGTGCCGGCTCGCGGTACGTTGTGCAACTTTTGGTCAGCCAGTGGCAACTGCCTCTCGGTTGCGCATTTGTCTCTAAACTAATTACGCAATATCGTATCTGTTTCCTGCTTCCGGCCTCTATATGCTTTCTATGTCTCTATGCCTTTTCATGTCCTTTTTCTCTGCTTGTTTCCGTTGCAGTTACGCTCTCATCCGGCTCTAGCATGAAAAACTTCTTCAGCACGTATTTCTCCACATCGGCGGCGTCGCGTCGCTTCGGCATTGGATACCACTTGGCGCCAGTCGCCATGGCTGTGGCAGCATTGCTTGTCAGCGGAGGCTCACTGCTCACCCATATGGGCCAGCTAATTATGCTAGGCGCCGATATCGTTGATGTTGCTGCCTCTGCCGATTCACTTGCAGTGGCCAGAATAGTTTATTCCAATGGACAGAGAAACCGCAGCGACAGCTCCTTAAAGGCGCCAGTTGAGCCAAGACAGCAGCTTCCGATATCTCAGAGATAACTAAATTAAATCCGCCACGGACTAGATTGATGGAATGCAGCAGGCCGGGCCTACGACCGCGCCCATTCCTTGTGTGTTACAAATTAGTTAATTATTAAGTGATTTGAACATATATTTTATACGCTAGTTAATCGTAAAGGTGTGCAGAATATTTGGTTTGCCAGGTTACGGAATTAGTTTTTGTATTTCAAATGATTTTTAGTAGCAGCTCTATAATTTATTCAATACGAGTATCTAACGAGTTATTGTGTGTGCGTCAGCTAGCGAGCTAAAAACAAACTACAATTAAGAGAAACATTTAAAACTAGCATAGTTTTAACAACATAGCGTGAGAGCATAAATTAAAAAAATAAATGTTAATGCAGAAAAATGGAAATATAACACAGATTATAGAGCAGCCCACGCTCTTCAGTGTGCGTCATAAAATTAAAGACAAAAAACCAAAGGTACTATATGTGTTGCAAAACCAAATTCAAAACAAAAGAAAAACTGTGTAAAATATATTTAACAACTACAAAGCATATACATAAAAAGAAAATCAAAATGAATTAAAAGCCTCGTGTGGGCATAATGTAAATGGTGGTGAAAATAAATAAAAACGGTGTTAATTTTAAAATAATTCTAATGTGTTTTTTTAAGTAGCTGTTCTGTGTTTCAGATGACTTTGCAAAGAAAGTTTACAATTAGAGGATCTTTGTTGAACACATATCGACGTATGCATACACATTGCATATAAAAGTATGAATTGGAAGCACTCGAAGAATTTTGGGACAATTATCTGTTTCTATTAGTTGCTGAAGTAAGCTGTTGTAAAATGTTGGTAACTCATAAATGATTTTTGTGAAGAAAGAGGTTTGGGTCCCTTGTGCATTAATTTTGATAAAAGAATAAAAAAGTCTGCATAAAATTGGAAGCACTAATACTATGAGAAATTTTATTTTATTTTAATCTAATCAACAATGCATGGTGAAAAGCATTTTCCATTATGTTTTAAAATCCAAAAATCATGTACGACAAGCAATAATATTGTATTGCAAATTTGTAGTGCATTGTTCAAATCGCGAGCTTGACGCTCAATTATCGATTTGTGCTTATCGATGTGGCAACACCAAACCAACATATGGTTGTTGGCTATCGAGATCGATATTAACGAGGGGCGATATCTCTGTTTACCGAGAAGCGAACGAACGGCAGCATCAACGTAATTATAATAAGTTAAATATTCGTTTTGTATTAAATAAATAAATTGGTAATGTTAATTGCCAAATCGATACGCCCACTTGCGCCACCTACCAATAGCTGTTTTTTCACGATCCACACTGCTGCAAGCTGCAGCAAACTTCAAGGCTTCAACCGCAACTAACTTTAAGGTGTGCTCTGGACCGACACGGTTGTGTTCGCCGCTGATGCGGATCAATTAAGAATCTCAATGTGTAATTTAAATCCTTAAGTATTTGGGCCATCTGCCTGTTTTGGTCGCCATTGACGGCTGATAGAGTGAAGTAAAGTAAAGCTGAATTGAACGGCGCAAATTTTTTGGTTGGGGCTGCTGTTAATTCTTTCGAAGTGGACCCTTCTTTGCCAAACGTCGGCGCGCGCCACGAACGCGTCCGCGATCCAGATTTGTTACTGCGCTACAATATGTATCTACAATTTGAAATCTAGCTTTAGGAAAAATTCGTGTGCCCTCTGCCAATTCTTTTTAACAACTCTTTTCAAATGCACGGCGGAACAACTGCATTGTTATAACCACAACAGCCTTCCCGGCGATGGGCTGCGCATTTTCCGACTCAACAAATTTTCGCTGTTGATTTTTGGCGTTAAGAAATCTTACTCAACATTTTCGCAACAAAGGCAAAGTCGCTTTTATTGTCCGTATTTGGTTTGCCCACAAAAGTGTGAAAAAATCGCAGTTACGCAACGAAAGAGCAAAACTAGACAAAAACTACATTGCCATTGTACGCAGAGGGCTCTTCCTCCTTATCGGAGTTCTTGTTGTTACCACTTCCGTTGGGCATGCGCATTTTTCGTATTATTATACTCTACGTACAGAAGTATATTAGGTTTGCGGGAGCTGAAAAATGTAACAGGCAGAAGGAGGCGTGGCAGACCCCACAAAGTATATATATTCTTGATCAGCATGACGAGACGAGTCGATCTAGCCCTGCCTGTCTGTCTGTCCGTCCGTATGAACACCTGGATCTCAGAGACTATAAGAGATAGAGACACCAAATTTTTTTTTTAATTTTCTTATTTTTTTTTTCTATAATTATTGTAAACATATGTAGAGAGTATTTCAAAGTCGGGACACCCGACTTTAGCTTTTTTACTTGTTTTTCGTTGGGAAATTATTGAAGCGCGCTTTGTTATTTCTTTTCAATTGCAGCAAAGCAGTCGTTCCCTAGAATAAACTTGAAGGGAAATATAAGTAGAACGGCGCGGCGGGTCGAAGAGTTAGTTGCCTGCATTGTTGTCGCAAATAATTGCACTGATACGAAAGTACTATATATTATTGTGTATCCATGTAAATATGACTATACGTCGCTTGTGCTTCAAAATTATTCACAATCTTGTTCTCAGATTTAACAATGACGATGGCGGAAAAAGGGCGAGTCGTTCTCTGTATTCGATTTGTGCGTGATTTTGCATAGAAAATGTCATTTCTTTGCAAATGTGTACTTTTATGTACAAATACTCGTATATTGACATACAAACATGCTTACATAAATAAATGTGTAATCATTAAGTTATGGGTGCAAATTTTGTTATCAGATTGCAGAATGTGCAACAACAAAAATATCAATGAAGAAATATTCAAAATGGATTGGTTCATACAAATAGTAAAACCATGCTGGTGAATAGTCTTCGATGAGTCTTCGCAATTAGCATGACTATTATCGTTCAGTGGTCCATATTATTATACCCTGTACCCGTAGGGTAAAAAGAGTATATTAGGTTTGTGCAAAGTATGTAACATACAGAAGGAAGCATCTCCGACCCCATAAAGTATATATATTCTGAATCAGCATGACGAGAGAAATCGATCTAGACATGTCCGTCCGTCTGGATGAACGCGAGGATCTCAGAAACTATAAAAGCTAGAATAACCAAATTTGGCATCCAGATTCTCCTAGGTCCGAGAAATGACGAGTTTATTTTATTTTTTGGAATTTTCCCCCGCTACAGAATTTCGTCAATAGCGTCCACATTTCAAATGCTACCTAAACCAAACTGCACACATAACTAATATAAAGTTATCTATTGTTGTTTTAAAATTGATTTAATTCGGTCTAAGAAATTCTAAGAAAAGTTATTAGCGAAATAAATTCTCGCCAGTACAACCCCCCCAAACTGCACCAACAAGTGCGCTCTTCTTCTTCCTGTTTTTGCTTCTGCTATGGGCGCATATACCTCAGTGTCGGAAGTTTACCTGGGTACAGGGTCGGGCTTGTAGCGTTCTGTAGCGTTCTCTCTTGTTTTACTTTAGGTGTATATAATTTTTTTTTTATCAGAAAAAACTTGGCGCGATTTAATATAAACGTTTTATGCGCACATCCAACTGCTAGGGCGACCACGAGGGAAAAGACAAACCCAGGAGACTTTCGCAAAAAGGAAACTTCGTCTTCCGGAAATCTTTATTAACTCTTTCGTATTCAGCCTGACCTGTCATTTCTTTTCAACAATCAGCTGAGCCGAACTTTCACTGTTGCCAACTAATTTTAGACAGCAGCAAGAGACAGATGTCTAATTACTCCGATGGCTAACTGGGGGAGTTTAACCAAACATTTGAGATATCTTTACCCATTTTAGAGCTTGCCTAGCCAAAAATAAAACAAACGTAAATTTATACCTTCTTTTACTCTTTAGGTCACATCACTATTTTCGCCGTACAATTAATAGCTGGCGTTGCGTACTTGTTCATCTACGCTGATAAATTACTTGTAAAGAACAAAAATATCGTTCAAACGAAAAGCGGCCCACTACATAGACCAGAAAAAAACAAGAGTGAACGCTACAGTCGAGCAAGCACGACAGTGAAATACCCTGTACCCAGACAAACTTCCGGCAGTGAGTTATATGCGTCTCTAGAAGCAACAAGATGAAGAAGAGAGAAATTGATGCTGCAGATTGTGGGCGTAGCCCTAACTACTATTAATTGGTACGGCTAGATTTTTTTCGATAGTGCAACTTTCAATGACATTTTTTTATTTGTGGGCGATGAATGCACAAACATATTTATGCTTTTTGAAAAGGCCATTGAATTACCTTTAATTTCATATCAAAACATGCTCACGTTTCACATAACAATAATGCAAAGAAAACTTCCAATTCTTAAATACCCTGTACCAAAAAAAGAAAAAAAAATTAAATTAATTAACTAAATTAATTTAATTAATTCATTAACTAATCTGGATACCAAGTTTGGTTATTATAGCTCTTATACTTTCTGAGATCCTTGCGTTCATACAGACAGACAGACGGACATTGCTATATCGCTTCGGCTTGTCATGTTGATCAAGAATATATATACTTTGTGGGGTCTGCCACGCCTCCTTCAAACAAAACTAATATACCCTTTTACCCTTCGGGTACAGGGTATAAAAACTACTGCTATGTGCTAGAGAAAGACCGAACTGGGTAGTGGGACAGAGGAACTCTTTTATTTTTAGCGATCCAAATTTTATGTGTTTGTCGGTGATGCTAAAAAAAGTAATATAAAAGCGTACGGAGGCATACCACAAAGATTGTCTTAGGCGTTAAACCAAGTTTCTAGCAATCACAATGGTGAGGATGCTTGTTAGCCTAGGGTGTGGAAGACTTTACTTCATATATGGAGCAGTGCATGCAGAAAAAATACAAGTTTATCTTAGAAAGTAACCTCATTTCACAGCCTTGTGACTGTGCGGAATACTTTTCAACACGATGTTGCACCTACACACCCCACAAAAACAACCGATAATTGGGCTCAAAAGAATGGTATTGATGTCCTAGATAGGGCAGCTTCAAGTCCAATAGAAAACAACAAAAGAAAGCTGAACAACGACCCACAACGTGCTCTGTCTGGATTAAAATCAAAATTTCAGAAAATGTTGGACTTTATACGGCTGGAGAATGTCTAAATTTAGTTAATACTATTAAAAAGAGAATTAAAGCTGTTATTCAAAATAAACAAGAAAGGAATGCTAAAGTCGAGCAGGTTCAACTCTTAGGGGTGGAGTGGGGGGTTGCATCGGGAAAACTCGTCCTATCTCGGGCTCAGGAGAATCTGTATACCAAGTTCGGTTATTCTAGCTCTTTTACTTTCTGAGATCCTTGCGTTCATACAGTCAGACGGACATGGCTATATCGACTCGGCTTGTCATGCTGATCAGGAATATATATACTTTGTGGGGTATGCCACGCCTCCTTCTGCGTGTGCAAGTTTGGTTTATGTAGGTTTTGTAAAGTGGAGTGTATTTACGAAATTTTGTAGCAATACTGTCCACATT